TGTACGAATCGGTGCTTCTATCCTTCAAAGCGTAACAATAAATGAATCCAGAGCGTAAACAGCTTGGAATGGCCGAGAGGGATCGATTAAATGATAGTGGCGGCCTTCCGCTCTCCTAACTCAGCAGGAAAACAACAGTATCGCTCCAGAACTGTAAATGTCCCTGTTACACAGTCAAATTTTTTCCACCCACTTCTTACAAAAAGGGGCGGAGTGCAACAATTCTGGTTAGCTGATAGCTCCATTCCCCTAGATGTATTCCATAGAATGCCTTGTCGGAGTATCGTTGGTTGCTTAAAGGCAAACCCCGGGATTAGCCCGACTAGTAGGAAGGATACCACGAGGGAAATTGTAAGGTCCGTACCTACCTAGATCACTCCAGCTTCGTCGCAAAAATTGCGCGGTTAGGGCGCTAATCCTTACGGGCCTGCAACCATCGACCCCGTTGCAACGCTTCCCACCCACCTCGATGAGATCAGCGTGCTCTCTCGAACGCGTGCTCTCTCGCGTGTTTTGTCTTCTTTGACCGCCCTGTCTCGCCATCGTACCACATCCGACCTTTTGAAGGTTAAGGCCTTAATTTCAGCGTTCCAAAGATTTCTCTTGCTTTCCTTTCCACTTTCAGGTCGTTCCGCAGCTAAGCTATCACCACAAAGCGCTGATAGCACCAGTTTAATCCCGGGGTTTGCCTTTAACCCCGTTGCAACTCTCGAAGAGCTGCAGTGCGTTTGCCCCTCGATTCGTTGTCATACAGCTTCCTAACTTGATCCTGTCTGCTTCCAAGTGCAATCATGGCCTTGCCAGCTTGGTCCGTAGAGCTGAGTTCTGTCGTATCCAACCCCTTGATTATACAGGGTTAGCTAACTGACATCAGATTCGTGTGCATGGATTAGAATGTTCACGTGAACAAAGGTTGAACTAGGGGTTTCTTCGCAAAAGTCAGGTAGGCAAGCGAACGCCTTTACGATTACCAGTGGAGTCAAGTGCGCGACGCATCCGAACGAGAAGGAATAAAGTCAAAAAATATTCCTTCATTTTATGGTCCCCTTTATGAGAAATTTCTTATTTCACTTCACAGACCTTAACCCGGCCCTAGGGGTAGAAGTGCATGTTAAACCTCAGGTGTGCAGTAAGTCAATACTTCTTACATTTTAAACGGCGGAATTTGTGAAATTTTCAAGGTTTCGCAAAATATTTCCGAATTTCCACCTGTTCTTCCCTCCGTAACCAGTTCTTCCCTCCGTAAATCTCATATCTGATCCTCGGTATGCCGAGTGGGCATTTAGTACCGCTAGAAAACTCAGATTATCGTGGATCATCTCCAAAAGGAGTTTCGGTCGTTTCATGATAAAGCCTCGTTCAATTAAATATTATACAAGACTATTACGGCGCTATCACAACATACGGGGACATTTTGCTTGTACGTGTACATTCTGATCAAGTCGTCTTACAAGCTGGTTTGTACCTGGTTAAAGCTTCGAACGTGTTTGAATTTGTCTCGTATAACTTCGTATAATGTATGCATCTTTTTAAGCCGCTATGCAAGGTAGGGGGCTATTACTCTAGACGAATGAACAGGAGGAGCGCATACGACTACGGGAAATGAAAAATTGCAACGCAGACAGACTTTTTTCTCTCCATTTATGGCTTGGTACCTTTTGACAGAATTGCGATAGCGCCTTAAAATGATCTCGGTTCTCTTTCGTTTTTTGGAGAGCTTAGCCTCAGTACTAGGTAAGCATACGCTTTTCTGTTGAGGACTCCGAACCAGGGTCGGTCCTATCGTTGCTACTTTTCAAAAAGTTTTTACGACCCCCCTCCCTCATGAAATGTTTCATACGACCCCCTCTTTCAAAACAATTTTTACCCCAAAAATACGGCAAATTTTCTCCCGCGCCGCTCCCCACTCATCACATGCAACTTCTTACAACCGAAGCAAGTACGACCCCCCCCCTCTACAAACTCATCAAAATACGACCCCCCCGTTGCTACTTGTAGCAACATAGGGTTGACCCTGCTCCGGAATTCTAGGCCACGATACAAACTCGAACATGTAAGTTTAACACGTAACGAAACGTTAGAAATCCACCCGTATATCATGATAGCTCCTATATAACATAATCTATGCTAACATTAAATGTAATAATATCTATTGATTCATTGTTTTGAGGCGGATGCAAGAAAGGAAAAACTTTGAACGGGTATGGAAAGTACATACAGGTTCTCCTATAACTTTGTTTAAAAGTCAAAAAAGACGAAAATCCGCGAATTTTCCGTCTCTTTCTTGTGACTTGATTACTGTAATGTTTTCCTCACGGAAATTTGAAAAAAGACCTATGGAAAACGATATTACGTATCAGAAAACCTAATATATGAAGGAAGATTGATCCCTTGTCCCTGTGGAATTTGCTCACAAACAAGGGCCTGGAACTGACAGCAGGTGGCAAATAAACTTCGGCTTACTATCAAATGCAAACTGGGTAAAGTAGAGGTTTTCTTCAGCTGGGGGGTTATATTTGGCCCGCTTCGTTATTTGCACTCTGTAGAAGCAAATTCGTTCAAATTGAATTCAACGAAGGACGCCATCGCAAAATGCGGGGCATTGTAGTGGCAATACATTCAAAACTACAAAAGATATCCCTTTTTCTTGTGAACAAGGCTAAGTCAAAGGCGGGGGAGGAGGAAATCCACGTGGATGGGCATATTATGACTTTGCTAAGTCTGCCCTCCTGACTTAGTCTTAAGAGGATGACACCACATCTTGAATGGCCTTAATGAACACTGCCCTAAAATAGGGGCATACTTATAAAATGATGGGAATCGCTTGACGAGCGTTTTAGTCTCACTTTTATTCTAGTTCAGAATGAAAGAGAAGCATAAAAAGTTGCTGAATGTCGCTATCGCAAGACACGGGGGCTATCCTTCAGGAATAAGCCTAGGAGGATCCTTGGGGAAAATGAAAGTTGCTCGAAAGGACACGTTTTTAGGCGTTTCAAAGACTCGCGCCACCATGATGGCCCCTGTATGTTGCGATTAGCCCTGTTCCCCTCTGGTTATGATTATAGCAAGCGACGCTCACCAATAAGCGGCCTTAAGCTTTTTCAACTAAAAAATAGATTTTTCCGGAAATTCAATAGTGCAGGCTTATAGAACTCGATGCGGTGAGTTTAATGGCATAGTTTTTCGTGGAGGAAATTGAACAGTAATCAAGGTATAACAAAAAGACGAAAAAAGATGTGATCCGCGTCTTCCGTGGCTTCTTAACAAAGTTGAGGTACTGTAGGTATAGAAAGCATAAAAGGTAAACGTAACAGGATAGAAAAGATTGAAAAAACGCGGCGACAAAACGGAAAGAAGAAGGAAAATGGACATACACCGTCGAGGCTGCGTTCACTCCTAGTATAGGATGGACTGCGCGATGGATAGTAGTTCTGAAACGAACAAAAGCTGAGAAGTGAAAGAGTACGAGTGGCGTACTGCGCTTGTCAGTTGAGCCATGGGCTGACAGCAGGGGGGTCAACCGTCCGTTCGCACTATTCGAACGAGGGGCGCACTTGTAATTTTGGAAGGAGGGGGTCGCATTTTTGGGCTCAGCGGGGTCAGCGATCTCCGGGAAAAGCGCGAAGGGGGTTCGTTAAAAGGGGTTCCTATTTGGACGAGTTCCTTTTTGACAAATATGGTAAAGTTCCAGGAGAAAGTGCGAGAAAGCAGTGCGATAAGCAGTGTGAATTGAAAAAAAATTGTAATTTACCGCTTCATGATTCCAATCCAACCCCTCCCCCCTTCCCCCCACCACTGGACAGCTGTTTAGGAGGGAAAAAGTGGGCGGAGTTGGGTGTGTCGACTGGTGTCTCAGAATCAAATGCTGTAGAAGCAGCCATGCTGGCGTCGCGGTGAGGAAGGGGTGTCGCAATTGGGGGAGTCTCCCGTGGGTCGCATCGAGACCCCCCCCGTAAAGGAAGCGGGGGTCGCAAAATTTTTGAAAAGTGCGAACGTGACGGTTGACCCTGGTTGACAGTCGACAAGGGAAGATTAATCGGCTAATTGAAATGAAGTACGTGCTACTCCATTAGCTCCGGACCGAGCTCAAAACAGCTTCTATATCTGCTGAGCGATATATGCTCTGAATGAAGCGGAAAAGCGCAACGGTAGTGGTCGGGGTTCATAAGCAGAAGTCACTGGATCGATTCATCGAGGGATAGTGCTTTTTTATCAGTAACATAGGATTCTGAAAAAGGCTTCTGACATAGCAACATCGACCACAGTTGCCTGTATGAGGAGTTCGCGAGCAGTTCAGAGCAGGATCACCCTTTTCGCACAGTTCGAACCGGGGTCCCACTTGTGGAAGCAGGAAGGGTCACTGTTGTGAGAGAGGGGGTGGCTGTTGCCGTTTTTGACGAATAAGCAAAAAATCAACGAAAGAAGTGCAACGTAAACAAAAATAGAGCACCTGGCTTCTTACCATTAAAAGTGGGAGGAGCAGGGTTGGGTCGACTGGCCCGGAATCTACAGAAAGAGCCATGAGTGAGGGGAGAGGGGTCGTATTTATGGGTGACCCTCTCACATGGCGCTTGTATGGAGGACCGCACTGATCATGAGAGGGGATGTCATGACACAGTAAGGGTCAAAAGTGTTCGCCGAAACGCTTTTTCGTGCCTTTCATTTCTTCCCTTCAAAGAAAGATCTGAAGATTAGTTTGAAGCCTTTCTTTCAGATATCTAAACTCTTCAAGAGTCAAGTTTTGAAAGCTTCTGAAAGGCATGTCTTACTAATATTTGAAGGGCACTGTTTGAGTGCGGAAAATTATGCCGAAAAATGCACGAAAGAACGTTTCGGCGAGCACTTTTGAACGCAACTGTACGTCTGAAAAAAGTGCGACCGCGACGGATGACCCTGGTTCATAGTATCTCCTCTAAGGAAAGCATGCAAAGTAGCGCGCGGAAACAGGACCTTCATACCTCCGTTCAGGGATACACGAACAGAGGCGAGTCAGCGGACGAGTCGCAGCGCGTACTGTAGTGATTCGCGTCAAGTAAATAGAATGTACCACTGTACGTCCTACATCGCATGAGTACGCTGCGACTTGTCCTGCTGACGCTGCCTTTTTGCCGCGGGACGGGCCTCCTGTCGGCTACCCCTCTGTTCAGAGAACCGATCAGCAGATAAGGAAGGCAATTCCAAGCACAGCGTTTTGATGCGGATGCAAAGGTATACACCTAATTTCAAGGGTCCATGTCGAGCTGTCGAGCTTCCCTTGTCAGCCACTTGACCATGATCAATACGCACACACACCGATATACAGACAGGTTTTAAAGGAAAAACAGAACAAAAGAAAGTACAACAGAACTGCTGCCAGCAAAGGTGGTTGCACGGCGTATAACCAGCGGCTCATTCAACATGGGTGCGAAACGATTCGCGCAATCCGTCATCGGATTCGAGTGGTGATGAAGCCAATTGAGTCAGCGGCATGCGGTGCTGGCTGGCTAGCAAGAGGCGGCGCGAGTAATCGCTACTACACGAGAAGTGCTTCTAATTCTCACCTGCGGATGCAGTCGACGGTACTGCTCAGCTCCAATCCACACCGTCTCCTGACTTGAATTCACCACAGACGACACCTGAAAGAAGCAGGGAGTCAATTTGTGGCCACGGGATTTCATCTGCTCACATATTTTCGACGTTCACCAAGAAGCTGTCTTTCGGTATTACGGCTGTACCCCGTTGGCTCGTTTTGTCGGAAGAGCGGCCTACTTCAAAATTTGGAACTTATTACCTCTCCTAATTACGCCACTCATTTGTTATTATTTATTATTATATAATTATTGTTTCACAAGAAGTGCTGGGTTGTGAACAAAACTTTCGCCCCAGCGGGACTCGAACCCGCACCTTTTGCTTACCGGGCAAGTGCTACCAGTTACGCTACCGGATATATAATTATTTATTGCATGAACTATCTGTACATGAAACGAAGTTAAGCAATAAACGAAAACTCTCACGACAATAAATCCCAAAAAACTCCTAACCAAAGCTGCTTATGAAAATTGGATGTTTTTTCCTGTTTAGGAGCTAATGTGATGTCCAGCTACGCCGACAAGCAGTGCAGGGATCCAACCCCCTTTCCCAGACTAACCTGATCCTGTCCTTAATATCGATCATGCGGCAGTAGACTTAGTTCGTGACATAAATTCTGTGGCGCATTCATAAGGCCTTGAAGATCAGAATGAATGACCGAATGTGTGGCGCATTCTAGACCAAGACCGACGCTTTATCCTTTAACTTACTATTCTTTTCATTTTCTCCAAATTCCCGAGCCCCCCCCCCTGATCGCTTCTGTGCAAGGAAATAACTCGAAGTGGCCCATGTTTCGGAAGAATATATAAAAGTTTCGATTTTATTCGACCCCATGGAATTCATACCGCCTGAAGAGGGGGCTCAATTATGGCATACTCAACTCCCTCTCTTACGGTGTATGTTCTCGTACCACTTTTGTCCTGTTTACACCCCCCCCCCTTCACCCCCACCTGACCCCCCCCTCCTCCTGACCAAAAGCCATTGGGTTCTTGAAGTTTGAAATGGTGTTTGAAGATAGGGCGCATTTGTCTTTGGCTTTCCAGGCTCGGACGAAGGCGACAAGGCCGAAACGCGAGCCGAGTAAAGGTTGTTGCCATCTTCGCTGCGGGTTCAATAAACCCGACCGAAAGTACCGCTGAGGGCAATTTTGCAAAGAGCAAGCTTGTTAGTCCTGCATGCTGAGCTTCTCGGCGGAGCCCCGCCCATTCGGACTCATCTTTCAAGGGCACTATCCTAAGTTTATTATGCAGGACCCTCAAAAAGCTTAGACCTTCACCTGAGTTCTGCATTACCCGAGATAACAATTTGGAAAGGGGAATCGATCGAAACAGAAAAACCTCGATGTGACATACACTACCATCTGTCATCTAACAAAAAGGTTCTTTATAGTTTTCCTCCGCATAAGGGAAAAAGATATCGTAAATCTTTGCGCCAAAATTGGAACCACATAGGAGTCGAGTTTTTCGCCCAATAGTAGGTTACCGAAAGCACTCACAAGTGGATGTATGTGGCAGTTTATTGCCGCCATCGAATGGCATCGTATACTGCCGGCCATTTCGGCATTGAGTATGCCATTTATTGCATTTGAATTCGTCGTAGTAAAAAAATTATCCTATTGATGAGACTCCCGGCTTTACGAACGTCAAGTGGTCGGGAAGGACAACAATATCTTTTTTTTTTAGGAAGCCTTTGCTCCTGAGCAATCCTTCATCTCGATCCGCCGAGCTTTGCCTTCACCATTCCCGCTACTCTTCTCGCCTCACTTTAAGATTTCTTCAGCATTCCCCATGCTTGATATGGGTAGTAAGTGCACGATTTGGCATTTTAATAGTCTCACTATCTTATCTTATCCAGCTTTTCTATGGCACTACGCTTTAATTATAGCAGTTATTACTATTCAATTACTCGCTCGAGAACCGCGCATATATTCCATTCAAAGTTCACTGAACATAAGGGAAGAAATGCATATATTCCATTCAAAGTTCACTGAACATAGGAAAGAATAAATTTCTCCTCGTCTCTTAGTTATTAACTAATTCTTCTAGGAAAAGTAGGCACTGCCAAGGAGCGATGCTACACAAAGCCGGTCTGTGGATCGAATCCTGTTCAAGCTGACAAAGCAGTCCATTTCTCCTGGCTCGCTTGGGAGGACAGAAGTTAATACTTGCCCCTCTGAAGGCTGGCAGGACTAGGTTACTGATAGAATCGGTAGAATAGGTTTGAAAATAAAGGATAAAGCATTTGCCGTTGATCAATCCCTTTTTGGGATGCGGCACGCATTCTACTTCCATTTGTACATTCGTAGTGGCGTTTGAATGCGATGTGGCCTATACAATGACTTGCGGGGGCCAGCCGATGTACAAGTCAGTGTTTTTATCCTCCCAGACAAGTCTGGTACCAATTAACCGACCCCGGAGGGATGGAAGGCTTGGTTGGCCCGGGCGACTCACGACCCAGGATTTGAATAACTTCGACCGCTCGCGTTACGAAGTTATACGACACTGTACTTACTTTGTATAGCATTTTGACCTTTCATGGACGAACTTTTCTGCAACTCCTTTGATATAGATGCGTAAATCGGGTAATTTTTCTCAGAGGCTAAGTTACTCGAAGTAGCGAAAAGGAGCCTGCTTGTTGCCCAGCCAATAGGTCTCTATTGGTGGATGTGTATAATCGTTCGTTCCTATGCATATTCAGAAAAACTTTTGAATCGTTCTTGAAACCTCTTCATGAAAACTATCAGGCTCGTGAACCCCTGCCAAATATTCTTAAATGGGTTGAGATCACCGGCAAATGGGTGTCAAGCTAATAGGTGCACAGAGAGGAGTGGAGCTGCAGTTTTTAAGGGTTCATCGAATTAAGAGGCTTGGATGATACGGGACTGAGACGATTGTCGTAGTTACGACGGCCTGGTAGGGAGGGGTCGAAACTTGCAAGGGTCGCACTTTGTACTCACGGTAGCCTTGCACGTCGGCCTGTGTACAGTGCAGGTGGAGCCTGAGCCTACTGAGTTGTGTTATGCCAAACATCTAAGGAAGCAGTGTCTCAAAGAAGTTTCACGGAATTCTAAAGAGTAACCGAGCGGAGAAAAAGACAGTTGGGAGGGCGGATATAAGGACTTAGAGGATGGAATCGAATATCGGACAAGAATAAAAGGAGAGACAGATGGATCCATAATACGTCCCCATCCTAACAAATAGTTCCGCGACGAAAGCATGGCCCAGAATATCCCCTACTGGAGAGGGAGGAGGGTGTAATTGTATCAGGTGGAAAATCTACGTGGCCTAGTTCGAAGTCCTTCTGCAAAAGAAGGGTCTGTGGCTCGCGCTAGAAGTGAGCCACAGACCCTTCCTCACACCACGAAAATAGGTCCATGGTCGCCATGGAAATGAAGAATACTTCAAAGAAAAAATGAAAAAACGAATCTGGAGAGCAAAAGTCGTTTGTAGGGGCGGGGCGCATTGGTTTTCTGAGAGCAATATGCATCCAAGGGGAAACACAAACACCCATACACGCAAAACGCACATATTGAATCGATTCAGAAGCGTAAAATAAGCACGACAACAAATTAAGTGGATGTGACGGCGGCCGGGAGAACGACGACGTCAAGAGGCATCGCCGTCTCTCCGGCTGGCAGCAGCCCGAGCCGGGATTATTACATTAGTGGACGACATCTCCTCATGTCGTTGCATGTAAGTAGTCTGAATGGGGATAATTCCAACCAAAGAATGGATAACGATGAGTGAGAATTCGGTTAGGGACATAAAGGAAACTTCTAGCAGCAATTATGCCCAGACGTTATCCAATTACGAACAGCTCTCTGCAAATTTTCGAATGAAAAAGGACACGCTGACGCGCGACCGTCTGAGAACACGCGATTTCCCAGCCTCTCGGAAACCGTCGTAGCGTGGCGAGAATCGCGTGAAAAACCACAAATTTCTAGTGTAATTCAATGGGAACGACTGGAATCCCTCCATTCTGCCACGGGACATATGCATAGATTAACTAAGGGCTTTCTCTGGCTCGGGCTGCCGCCGAGGCCGGATGGATCCAGCCGAGAAGTAATTACACCAATGACGGAAAGGCAATGCTCCACACAGGGTAGAATGTTAAGCAGTAAAGCGACTGAATAAATGAATAATTAATAAATTCAACTAAATAATAATTTGTTAGGGGTAAGCCATGAGGACGACATCACCTTAGAATTTTAGAGATGATTGAAAGCGTAAAGCGTCTTCTACAAAAGTCTAGCGTCATATGCAGAGCCAAAAAAATTGTTTGAGCTAAAATCTTTGTCTCTAGTGATAGGACTATCAGTAATTTATCGAACTGGGAAGGATGAAAGGCTCGGTGAACCTGGAAGGGATTCGATCTTGCCCAGGAGAGGGCTATTTGGTCTCCAAAACTATAAGATATCTTTCGGAATAAAAAGGAAATGGAGGAAAATTGCCAAAAAAGAGAATCAATGAGAAAAAAAGAGAAATAGCGATCAGCTCTACCTGACGTCTTCGTCCTCGTGGGCTACTTCCTCGAGCGAGAAGTCGTTCACTACGTGTGAAAATTGGCGAATGAGCAGAGCTACGACACTGAAAAAAGCTGAAAATCGTTAGTACAAAGCAATTTAGTAGAAAATCAATAAAAATAGCTTTGACATGAAAATTGTGCTGTCTAGATGTCAGTTGTAGTAGCTGAGAGAATGTCAGTTAGTCAAATGTGAGTCGAGAGAAATTCAAGTCGTGTCAGAAAGGGGGGTTGAAATGAAAAATAAAATCAAAAAAAACTCGTGGGTCCGCCCGTTGAGCCGGAACAGCTGGCACTCAAGGTGTGAAAAGCTTCGTGCATAACATGATAGATGGAGATTGATGTGAAAATTAAAGTAGATTCAGGCGAGAGTGCGATGACAGCCAGCGAGGGAGAGAAGACGCCGTGGGGCGCACTCCCCATCAGGCTTCGCCTCATCGATTAGCCTCCTTCGTTGTTGACCGACGAACGCTCTCCACTGATACTTAGCTTCGTACTTCAGTAGCTGAAGAACTTACAAGTTCATTTCGCAAGTACTCCGGCGAAGGACGTCAGCGGTGCAACCCGGAAAACTTCCGAGCTAAGTCGCCCCCCCCCCACCCCCTTCAAGTGCACGAAATTGCAAGTTGAATCACGCAGCTTATTTGAACTTGTGCAAAGTGCCGCGATATTTTTGGTCGGAAATCGGAAATCGGCAAATATTCGGTTGAGCCTCAAAAAAGGCAATTGGAGGAAGGCAGAGGAAGCTGCAGAATATGATATAACGAGGAAGAGCTCAGGCCATTAATATGGTAATTGAAGAAATTGGCGTTGATCCAGTTGTGGGTTTGTCCAAGGCGCCAGCCCCACCCACATGTCGTCTTATCAGTTACGAAATCATCAAAAAAATAATCCACGTGACGAATGAAAGAGTCAGGAAGAGGAGGAGGAGTGGCGTTTCAGCGCTGCGCTAAACCGCCTTTGTTCTCGTCGAGAAGACAAATGCCACATGGAAAAACCAACGACGAGCAATGTCTGGAAACCAACCCACCTGATCAATTGGTATCGGTTTGGCGACTCCGATTCGAATTTTACCCATTGGAGCCGCTTTTAGCACAGCAACCGCTCGTTCCAGGCTGAAACAAGAATCATTTAGTCCCAGAAAATGGCGCTTTTCTGAAATTGCGACACTGATATTAGCTTTTGGCTGAATTTTTACCCAATTTCAGGACGAACTTTTCTGAAATCTTTGATATTATCGTAAAATGGTATTCCTCAGAGGCTAGTTACTCGAAGCAGCGAAAGAAATCCGCTTGTTGTTCAGCAATTAAACGTCTTTATGGTGTATTGTGGTATAGAATTCTTCCTATTGATATTCAGAAAAACTTTGAATCGTCTGAAGCTTTTTCTGGAACTACTCAGGGCTTCGTGAACCCCTGCCAAATATTTTAAATAGGTTAATATGCACAGGCAATGGTGCAAGTTAAGTGCACAGAGAGGGAGTGGGGCTGCAGAAAGGATTTATCTAAATTAAGAAGGTTTATGTGATATGTACTTAGACGAAGTTCCATAGTACTGGGCTTGTAGGAGGGGTCGAACTGCAAGGGTCGCACTGGATACTCCTAGGGTAGCCCTCGCACGTTTGGCCTTGTACAGTGAGGATGAAGCTGAGGCATCACTTGAGTTGTGTTATGGCAAAGATCCAAGGAAGTACGTTGTCATCAAAAGAGTTTTACGGCTTTTGAAGAGTACCGAGCTGGAGAAAAAAGAAGTTGTGAGGTATTGTGCGGAGTAGAAGGGATAGGATTCGAATAGGAAGGATCCTTTCACGCATATGTAAAGGTGCTGCCGATGAAATCACACTTGGACTTAGAAGCTCATGCAGCTTGGATTGTTTATTCCAAATCAAATTTACTATTGCCGTTGGACAACAAAGGGTCATTTGAATAGAAATCTTTTGATACGATTGGAGGAAGCGCCTTCTACCAATCGCTATTTAATCGTACCACTACCAGTTCTTGCTCACGAAATCCTTATTAATAGCTTATGCCAGCTGTTCTGCAGGTCATCTATCCACGGGACAGAAAAAGTAGGTCGATAACACTAGTGAACGAAATCTGCATCGAATACCCGACTTATTGTTACCAGGAAGAAGATTTAACACTCAAACAAAAACTAAGTAAGCTGATATATGTGAATATACAGTGGTAGCATTTACATCATAGTAGAATTAAACATATTCAAGAAATTACAATGCGAATCACGTTTGAAAAGTGAAGAACTAAATGTCTTACAACATCAGAATCCTCATGGAAAAAACGAGTCGACCAATGGACTGCGTCAAAATTATCTCGTCCGAATGCGACAGTATTCCACTTTTGTTCGAGATCGTAGAGAGTTCTAATAGTGTATTTCACGTAAAAGTTTTGGCTTATTCGGGCCAATTCACGCTCAAGTCTCAGCTCGACCACCCAGATATAAGCGCTATGGCTGGACTTGAATGGGAGCCGGCCGACGACCCGAAACAACATATTTTCAAATGCGGCCCTCATATGCACTGCACCTATCCTTTTATAAATCTCTCCGTCTACAAACCGTGTGGTAACATTCAAACTCGCGTTAAACGACATTCTCAATAAATCTCTCAGTCTTCCAAAGGCTGGGTCCTTACCTGGAACAATCACTAGATTAAATAGCTTCATAGAAGAAACATTATGCAGATTTTAGTAACACATTCCGTAGGGCTGACATCAACACACAAGAAAAAATTGTCATCGAGTAGAATTCGCGCTACACAAGATAAGGGCATTCAACATTGAGCCTCCCCGGTGAGCCGCAACTTTGAGAAAACAAGCTGTTGAAGAACAAGGATCCTCTGCTCATGCCTCTGCGTTTTCAACAAAACAGCTTAATTGTATAACACAGAGAGGCACCAAAATTTTATTTCAAAAGAATTCCAAAAGTTCAGAAAGTTCGAAAATTCCAAAAACTCGAAAGTTTCAAAAGAACAAAAAGCTATTTGAAAAAGAATCCTTTTGAAATCCTCCGCGATATTTCGGTGTTTAACACTCATTCACATTCTTGGCACAGGCCAAGAGTAAACGCCCTTAGGACCGCGACTTTGGATCTCGGGACCCGGAAATTTCATTCCAGATCTTTTCAAATCGCTTTATTTTTTTTTAAATCTTTGTCCTTGGAATTTGAAAAGTTACTTGAAATTTTGAATCTTATTGAAATAAAAATTTTGTGCCTCTCTTGTAATACAATACTTAGTCTGATAGCCTAGGCGACCAGCACACATTAAGAAACCCAGCTGGGGAGTATATGTTAGACACATTCCACCACTAATGCCCCCGCTATTGCGATGCGCCCAAAGATCTCCCAAAGCCGTGAAATTTGAACTCTCTCGAACTGCTGTAGTAATTCTAGTTATCATTCAGATTCCGGGGGAACATGAAAAGGAATAGCCGCTGATCCGGAAGCAAATTTGCAAGATTTACTAATCTCCTTCCAGCAAAGGCAGAACGCCTTCATAGGAGCAAAAAAGAGAATGAGACAGGTTCCATTCATTCCCCAGCGTAGACTTTCAGAATAAGCCCCTGTCAGGACCAAATAGCCGATATTTTAGTTTCCATAAATTCATAATCACACAAGAAACAAAAACGCTCCAACGATTATAAACGCTGAGCGTTTTGATTGCTGCAGACCCACAATCAATAGGAAAGAAAAGTGTACCGTAACCCTACCTTGCGCCTCTCCGACCATCTTAGGTTTTGAGGTTTGTGGCAGTAAATAGGTGCTCCATTCCACAAAAAAGTCTGCTTCTTGGGTGGTCGATCTTGCGCCTTGGCGACAAAGATCTAGGGTAAGCCTTGTAGCCCTCTTGGTTCCATCGATACCGCCTGTTGGTTTAGTAGTCTGGAGAAATTGTCTTCAGGATTGTTTGGCTCATGAAAGGATCGGTCTCAATTGCTTTTCGACTTTCAGGCTCTGAAGGCGAAGAGGCCGAAACGTAAGCCTAATAAAAAGTGCTGAATCTTGGTCACACCGCAAAAGTATTCGCAACCACATCCTGCCAATATTAAGAGAAACTCTTGGATTATAAACACGCAGTCCCCCATGCCCACGCACTCGCTACCTTCAGGAGGTTTTTTTTAAATTGTGTCTGACAGTTACATTGACAGCCTAACTTCATTCTACAGACAGTTGGCAATTGGAGTCAACACAGTCTGAAAGCGAATTTTGCCTACCCCAATTTATGCCATGCAGCCTTCCCTCCGTTGTACTCTCTGCTCGTCTGCATAGCATTCGCGTTGTGAGGCCGTGATTTGAAAATGCATCCATTCAGTCAACTTCCATAATCATCACAGGACAACACAATGCGCATTCCCTAATGCCATAACGTGCTCTTAATAAAGCTTTTCCTCCAAGCTAACCCCAATCAATTCGACGACCGCGGGTGTTGGAGGCAGTGTGGAGGGAGGGCGTAACTAGGGCGGGTCCTCAGCAGCGGCTTCAAAACAGGCTCCAGAAAGCGTTAGTGAAACAGGATTCAGCAAGGATGGGCATATCCCAGAAACATGTCGCTTACATCCTCTCTCAGCATCTCCCCTCCGCTTAGGCTTAGTCCGGAATATATATGGCCTACTCGTTTCAATGCCCCCCCCCCCCTTAGGAGACAACGCCCAATCTAGTGTTGCGTCAAGCGTTACTGAGACCTTTGAAGTTGTAGATTCAAGTGGATGAGAGTCAAGGAGGGAGGACGAAAAATTAGTAAGGGTTGTGATGAGGAGGGGAGGGAGAAGTGGAGTAGTGTTTTATCACTATAGAGCTTGACATTCACTACTGAGAAGCCGTCGTGTGCCCTAAAGGTAGTCCCTTAAGAGGCAAGATTTAGCAGATTTAACCTCAGTAAAGTAGTCGCTCCCCCTGCATGGAACTGCTAGGTACGCAACTGCAGAGGTTGTGCGATCGTGAAACGCCGTCATTAAGACGCTAGGCGCCAAACTTTGACCAAATCCTGTCGAAACTGTTAGGGCCACTCCTCCCATCGCTGCTTCACAAGCGAGAACAGCAGGGGGTCCTATTTTGGATTTCCTAGACGGTTTTCCCGTGTCTTTTTTTTCAATGTCGGCTCACTAAACGCCTAATATGTACTTTATGAAGGAGGACCTACATAACTCCCTCTTTCTGTTAGGAACCTCGCCTTTAGTGGCAGTAATAGGAGGAGCATGACTCCTGGACAAAACCTTAGATTGCTCCCAAAGATCTCTGAAGATGACATAAGTATTGCAAAAAAAACTATTTATAGAACCTCAGACTTGCATAGTTCGGAATGCTAATCCATGTTTAGATCGCAAGCCCATGAGCCCTCGCTTAGGTCATCAAGAGTCCATTTTTGAGACTCCACGTAGTCTTTCCTAACAACTAGTCTACCACAGCATTTCTTCTCTCATGAGGGCAGATGTGGTATAGTAGCAAATGTAGCCATCCCTTGAGGAGACGTTCAGTTCTCCTCCTGGGGTCAGGTCACCAGAGCTGCGCGATCATTGAAGCCTAAGGTTAAGTTTGGGTTAGACTTAGGTTAAGGCTTATGCTTACACATTGGCTTATGCCTAAGCCTATGATTGGGCCTAGGCTTAGTCCTAAGCTTGCTTCGCCTGAGGAGCTGCAACGTACCCCATCCCTCTGATGATCAGATCCCAGATTGAATCTTGCAAAGGAACCGAACCTTCCGTCAAAGGTCTATCGGTACCATACTGGGCTGGGAGTGTGTAAACCACATCACGAACTAGAAATCGACTGGCTTCTGCTGCATTCATTGTGTAGGCCATACCGTACTCAAAACCCACTACGATTCCTATTGAGTAGATTGCATGACGCAACTTAAAAGGAATTGTTCAACACCGTAAGCTTCATCCTTTATCCTTTTATCATATCTCTATTGATTGATTTGATTAGCCGATATTAGAAGATCGAAAACAGATTTCTCGGTAGGGAATTGGGTAAGTACGCTGTTCGCGGGAGGGAGCGTGAGTTCGAGTCCCCTTTCTATGCTAGAAGTTTTTAACACGCTCAAAGGTCCCTTATCACTTTTCGAAGAGCCCTTGCTCTTTGTCGAAATTGATTCATTCATTCCCCTTTGCCTTCGGCAATGCTTTCGGAGCTACCATCAATTTTATTGCCTTTTCCCGTGCACCCAGCTAATGTAAAGCTTCCCACTTATGGTCAGGCCAATTCACTAATCTATACTCAAAAACCGGTTTCTATTTCGAATAAAAAAGCTTTCAAAGAGCATTCAAATGAATAACTGAAGGGTGTCCTGAAGAAAAAATAGCTCCAAAATGGAACATCAAGAATAACCAGAACGAAGCAAAGAGCTGACCTGCTATTGCTAAGATCGTGCTGATTGACAAAAAGCAGTCGATCGCCCGGGACGATACGACCGTCAGCTTGAGCTAGTCCGCCAGGCACTAATGACTGCACCACAATCACCGATTCTCCTGGATGTGATGGATCCTGCAACGAAAAGAATTTTTCATAGTGTCTGAAAGAGGCAACCGATTTCTAGTTAAGGATTGACAATGATACATAAAGGACAACTATGAGAAAATGGAACCCTTCCTCGTAAAATCCTCCTTTATAGGAGAATACTCCATTTGAAAAAAAGTACAAGACGTCAATTATGGGCCAGTGGTAACATTTATAAAAAATTGGCTTGGCTTAAACCTTTGATGGGAAGAGCATCGGATGATGTACCATGTAAGAAAGAAGTATCACTAGCCCTGAATCACCTCAAACATGCATGGCTTTACTGCCTCAGCCGTTTGAATTGCATCCCCTTACGATGACCCAAGGTCCATCCCAGAAAAATACAACGATTCATTTTCCCCGTCAACTGTCACATAGAAAGCGTCAACTTTCACATAGAAAGACGCCAGAAGGAAGAAGTAAGTGAGAGATACTTCGGCAGAAATGTCCTGCAAGTTGGGCCATGAGCTCGCCGTTCAAATAGTGCAGTGGACAGAAGCGCTGCCACATTCGTTTCAAGATTGTAAATGTTTTCATAGTCCACCAACTGATATACGAACGATTGAACTCGACGTAATCATTAGTTGATTACTAAAAGCCTTGAATACACAGATAACGCATCTGGTGCCTCCACGATTTTGGATTGGTGCAAAAGTCGTGGCGCATACCTACGGATTGCCCAAGCTCAACCCATCTCTCCTGTTTTTATTCAGCCCACTTCCTGACTACCATGGCACGGAAATTGACCCACCTTAAAGGAGTATGATACGAAAATTTGTTGCCCACTGGGGCGATAATAGAGGTGGTGGACTGTTCAAGAAAAATCCGAAAAAGTGACTCCAACCCGCAAAATGGGAGCCTTCTCACCGCTTGGATTTCCGCTTGTACGAGCCAGTGACAAAGCTGAGCTCCTTTCCAAAGAAAGGGTGACGTATACCGGCTAGCACTGGTAGCCAGTATACATAAGCCTTTCTTTGGTAACGACTGCATGCTACAGGATACGGTCGCTTTAAATGAAACGCTTTACAGTAAACAGCAATGCATAAGAACATCAGCATTCAGCCAAGTATAGCCCGTGTCCCACTTGAAGGCGGGCCGCGCTTACCCAACCCAACCGCCACGGCAGGTGGCGCTTCCCAGGGTTGGGTTAGCTACGTGACGACGAGCGCCCTTCAGCGCGTCAGATATCTCTATCAAACTTCTTTGGGTTTTTTTTCAATAAACATAACTCCCCTCTTTCCATATCCACTTTGTTCGTAATATCCTCCTTTGAACTATCGAGTCCTCACTTGATATCAAATAACCCTCCACGCAAAATTCTATCCAATTATGTAACCCCAGATGGATCGGATTATCCCGTTTGAGCGAATCGAGCCAGTTTCCGCTAATGTGTAAAGATGCACAAGAAGCCAGTCCATTTGTTAAGAATGGCCAAGTAGGGAAAGAACTAAAGTATGGATTGCTTCCCGCAGGGAAACGAATTAGCGAGGAACAACGAGGGTTGTTCCGCATCCAAAAAAGCCCTCTTGAGAAGACGGGGAACAATGCACGTCCGAGGCAGTTTGATTGCCATGAATAATTGAGATAGACGCCCTTGAAATAGTTTGTCTTTGTGGAGGACACGAAGAAATGCGTTCCCTTCCGCTGCAGGATGAAAAAACGACGGTCAAATACCCAGGGGTGCTTTGAAAGGAAATTAAGGACGGTATTGCTGAAATTTCGATAACAGCAAGCCTTATGAGGAGTCAACGAATTAGAACTCCTAGTCCTCGGGCGTCCTTTTCAAGGCAACACGAATGCAACATTTTCCATACGGCCAGTCCCGTCCAACGGCTCGGAGCGAACGTGTCTGAGTCGCCGCGAGAAAACCTTCTGGGTCGCAAACATCAGTGTTCGAGGCCAGATCCGGGATATTCACCTCGGATTTCGCCTGAAATAGAATTGCCTGATTCAGGCAGGGACTTTTAGACAACGTGGATTAGAACACTCACCTTAACGATCTTCTCATGTCCGGAAGCGAGCAGAGGATACGAGGCTGGAAGACTTTTTTCTGAGGTAGGCTGAAAGACGTTAACATGCTGCGTTCGTCGGGCTACCACCAACGTCACAGGGGCTCCAGAATGTACGGCTCGTGAAAGGGCTTGTCGAATGGTAACGTGCGATTCACCGTACAGTATCGAGTGGTTCACCTAAAATTCTTAGGTTATTAGGGTGTTCGCTGGAGGAAAAAGGAGGGTGTTCAGTACTTGTAGCAATTCATCGCCGGCCTGCAGCATTCCTGACGCGGCTGCTGGACCATTGTGTCGGATGGATTCGATATAATGATGGGGGCAAAGCTGATGGCCATTCACCACATCGACGGTTCCTGAAAATTGAGCACGATTTGCGTCATGGTATTCCGGTAAAAATAAAAATCAATTAAAAGTAAAAGCTTAAAAATAAAATAAACATAAGAGACAAAATGAATCAATATAGAATGTGAAAATAAAAAGTAACAATAAATAATGTTTACTTATTTGTTTGTTTGCTTGAGCTGCTCTCTTGCCGTAGCGTTCTATGTGGGACAAGAAAGCGGGCGTAATAAGACTTATATTGCGGAAAGGATGACCGGATAAATTTTTGTAAGGAAGAAGGGAAAAGGCAATTTTCAATGTTTAGTGCGACCTAACGCGTGTAAGCGCTGTGGTAAAAATTAAATCAAATAAGAAACAAAAACGACAAAGGAAGGATTGCGATGATATAGATGAAGATGATTAAAGTTTCTCAAAGTCATTTTCACGGAGAAGAAGAATGAGCTTTATCTGATCGGCCATTTTTAGGCTCTGCTCAAGAAAAGCTAGCAGTCTACCGGTCAAGGAGATGCCAAGACCCATGGGCCAGCGTCGATTGGCGGAATCGGGTCGATGATCTGGCGGTGATTAATACCTGTATCGACGTCATCTGACAGTTTCGCTGATGCAGTCGGCAACAAGGGCTTGATGTCCGACGATACGTCGATCACCTGAAGTCTCGCGTCACGACAACACTGATATTTCACTCGTTGAGTTGGCTATCGAGCGGTTACCCGGGCCTGGGGGAGATATTCCAGAGGGAAGTGGCCTGATGCAAATCCATAATCAGCCAATATGCCCCGTGGGTAAGCAGTCACGTTTTAGCCTGAATATTTTGACCTGCTTTGAGAAACAAGCGCACTAGGCCTGTCTATGGCATGCAAGGCGATTAATGTGATGTGGGGCCCTCGAGGCCAATTAGAGGCGCATTTTTTGCCATCAAAATTTCAATGGAACTGAAACATGTGTCGCAGTTTCGGGAAGAGGTTTTTCAGTCATTTTTTTGACGACAGTAGGACAATGAAGGGCACTTTTTCCGCTGTCTTTCGGGAGAAGCTCTGAAAGATTTGCCCAATGGAATGTCAAAAGGACAATTACCCCATAAAAACGCATCTCTGCAAAGCCAAATGGCCCATTTTCCATTTGCTTTGCAGCTGTGACCTACGATGGATTAGATGAATTAGGGGCACTGAAAGAGTACCGTCTCGTGTGCTTGAAGATATGTGGTGGAATTATTATATGCAATAGGAGCATTAAGGGTTGGCCTATAATGGTGGCGATAGCACAGGCATAGCGGCAGTTCGCTGTTGAGTCAATGCCGGCTAGTCCAGCCAGTAGTTCTGTTCATGATAAAGACAAGCATAATCCGTGTCCCAGACTTGCTCTTCTGATGCTTTCCTCTTTCACCTTTACTGCAGAATTTCTTATATTTGTGGCATCGGGAAGGGATTTGTCTGCTCGGCAAGAAGGGTGTTTCCCCTCCACATTTTTACAAACTCGTTGAGTTCTAGGCCTACCAGTCGGCGAAAATTCGCCACACCGTCAAAATAGCTCCAATGTATCCCCCTTGAGCAATCGATAATTGATTCACCCTTATAAATCGATGAGTCTTCTTCTAGAATCCTATTGTTAGACAAAACGTTCACGTTTCTTTTGAAATTAGTTTTTCTGCGATGACTACGACGCTTAGCTGGTCTATAGAGCCGAGACATGAGCATGACCGAATGAAGCGTAAGACCCCTAAATATCACGCGGCGTTCGCAAGCAGTGCGAACCGTCCTTGACTTAAGATCGAGGGGAACCAAGCGTTCACGGATCAATCAGCCTGGGCGATAGCATTTTCTTAAAAGAGGCTGGGATGACATAGCGAATCATAAAGGGACGAAACGGATCAGCACATAAGGGTATGGTTGGCCGCCTATCTATTAATTCATTCTGACTTCCTTCTAAACCTCCGAAGGAATGCGCTCCGTGGGGCTCAAAAACAGCGTCAGAAATGAAGTCAACGAAGGTGTAAACCAATTATTCCGCAATGATTTGATTCTCAACAAAACCAGATATGACTTTTTCTCTATTTCTCAGACTAATTCACAAAGAACAGAGATGACAGAGCGGAGGTGGTGTCAATTGGCGTTGTTTACCACGCGCACAGGCCGCAAATCAGGTCCTGGTCGTACCGCATGGGGGGGCAGCAGACATGTGGACCAGCGAGTTTCCTTCCCAGTGTGGCTTTTGGTAGACCTTGTCTGAGTTATAAAATTGAACGAATACGCGACTGGCTTCGCCGCTATCGGATGAGCTCTACAATACGACGAGAATTCTGAGGGTTTCTTGTTACAAGAAGAGATGGCGCAGGCGCCATACTAAGAAAGGACCCATCAAAGCAGAAGTTGCGCCTTAGCCGTTTTAAAGTGATTGAGCGCTATAGCAATAAATGAGGCATTGTGATGCAAGGCGGCCTGGGAAAAACCGGGTAAATTCTTTTTTTTGTTGAAAACGCGCGCGATGTATCATGTTGGGAGAAGAGCTTAAAGGCAAAGTTCGGGCTCAGACCCACTTAATGAGCCTTTACGGTGGCTAGAAGCGCTAGGTACGCAAGTGTAGGGGTCGCGTCACTTCCCTACTTCGAAAACCGTTATTTAGACGCTAGGCTCTAAGAACTTTGACACGCTCCACCTGCTGCGACACGCTCCGCCCACCGCTCGATATCTTGACTGCGTCGGAATGTTGATCTGCTATGCTCTCTCTACTTAGACTTCTCTAGCGCTCTCCGCGCTCACATTATCTCTCATCTCCCTGCCGGCCTTTTGAACTTCTCCGCACCGTAGAGGAAATGGCTCGTATTTCCTAAGCATTTCACTTTCTTTTTCTCTTTTCTGCACTGGAGGTCCACTACCTACCCCTACTTTCACATTTGAGTGGAATTACCTCATAATTTCAATCCTTGAAATCTTGCTTTAAGCGTCTGTGATACCCACGCCTCATTTTCCCCCAGCTCTCTGCCCTGCTTGGCGTAGTCTAGAGCGATGCTGCCGATATTGCGATACGCGCTGATGATTGTTCTGATAGGAGAGGATTGAATGATTGTTTGGTTCACATGAACAGATTTAAATTCTTGGAAATTAATCATGATAAGAAGAGCCTGTCGGGTGCACTGCTGCCCTCATGGAAACCTGTGGAGTTTCTCGTCCAGCGCACGACTTTTGTACCAACAGCGTTCGTAAAATTGGAAGCCTGATTCCGTCCACCGGGTGAGAAATTATATCTCAGCGCCACTACAGCATATTTCGGGCATCGGGAGCCGGACTTTGCGCTAAATTCAATTGAGCCACGAGTGGATTTGGGACCGGCACGACGAATCGTGCAGACGAGTTGTAGAATGGCAGATTGGATGCAAAATCGTAAGTCAGCAGAAAGAGGAAACCAGACGCTTGACTGACCTGTTTTGCAGCTTTTGAGGGGCACTGCTGTCTGACGCCTTCGAAGGAAAACGTGATGCAGGGCGTAAGATTGGCGTTTTCGCCGCTTCTCACCAACGTTCTTACGGAATCAGCATGTGACAGATGCTCCAACGATACGCCGTTCACCTGTGACGAGCAAAAATTTCGCTCATTATCACATGTTTACCTTTTTGTTTACGATAAATAAAAAGTCAAAATATTAGTTTCAAATAGAAGCCGAATTCGAATTGAGAAAAATGAAAAGAAGAAAGAGGAAAGGATTCAAAATGGGCTAGCAATGAAAAAATAAAAAGAGAAGTGGGAGTACGCTCTCCCAAGGGAGAAGCCCTAAGGCTTGCAGGAACCAAATCATACTCGTTATGCAGGATATCAAGCTTCAGAAAACAGAAAGTGGAGTGTGAGGGGGGGGGATTCCTCGACATGTCGCGATTACACCCCGAATTTCACTAGTTGGGCCCTTGATGGTCCCCAGAAAAGCATATGGCGTTTTCCTTTATAAGCGTTCCGGAGTTCCACAGTCTTGGAACAGTCGCTCAACCCTTTGATTCATTTTTTCTGGGTGGCATGCAACGCCTGTCGTTGAAACTAAGGGATGTAGCCCAAATGTGATCAGAGACGTAAGAGGTTTAGCCCAGGCTGTTGGCTGGGAAGTTGCCTCCCCCTGGCCCCCCGTTGTGAGCCATACACGACCGCAAAGGTAAAGATAGAGATGGGGAAGATCAATAAATGCTACAACAAGGCTGTGAGTAATACGAAGAGGAAGGGATTATTAGGATCCGTTTGGCTTCCCCGTCTAACCACTGCTCCGTGGAAACCCCTTAAGCTTGCTAGCGAGTTGTTGATTGATCGTAAAGGTTGCAAAAGACGCTGTGTCATGAGGGGGTGGGGGGAGAGGGTGCTCCGACTTATCAATCGCATCGCTAGCAGGATCGAACCCTGTTCTTCAAATTGTTACAGCTTTTACCTGGTCAAGCATCAACCGCTTAAATGAAACCTATCAGTGAATAGAAAGAGGTAAACACGAAGTGGTCCGAGAAGACGACCCTTTCCCTTAAAATCTCCGAAAGGAAGTCGAACGCGTGGCGCATTCCAAGGGGATTCATCAATGGCGAATTTCGTTGCGTAACAAGAAAAACATTACTACAGCTTTGAAAAAGAAACGTGGAGAGTGGGTGGTGAAGAAAAAAGGGCCAAAGCGAAAGGGAAAACCCGTCAATAGAGAAGATCACCTCAAGGAACTCAATAGGAATGCTAAGGATAGCCCAGGACAGAGACCTTGAGAGGGTGGGCATTTTTTCGGTCAGCCGGGAGGCCACCGTGCTTTGGATCAATTCTAACAGGATTTTCAAAAAGAATAAATGAGATTTCCGGAATTTCTGCCATTAGCTGCAAATCTCTCCAAAAATACTCGCATTCACCCTGGATAATTTGGATTTCAAGCTCCGAAATACGAGGGCGAGAAAATGAGAAAGAAAACAAGTATTT